GACAATCATTACCTTCAATGTTAGAACATTAAAGACATGATCCTGGACACATCTTGGATGTAATTCTGAATCCCATGATATTCAAGGTAGTTGGCACAAATTATTTGCAGGATCAGGCCCTAAAATTACCCTTCCTGTTGCTGTCATTGAGCGGCCTCCTGATGAATTATAACTAGGTGAAATTGTTTTGACAAATAGTAAGTTTGCTAAAAACTGGAATTTTAGGGGTCAGAAACTTTGACAGTTCAGGTCAAATTCAAAAATTAGCTTCAGAATAAGAAATGAGAAAACCAAAATTGAAAAGGCTGAAAATTTTAATTTGACATTTTCTACATAAAAATGTTTGTTTCATAAATACAGAAAGTAATTTTTGTTAAAAATGGAATTTTTTTTAAGTTGCTCAAAAGGACTAATAACCCCAAAACACTACTTTTCAAGTTTCAAATTTTTATTTGGCTATGAAACAGGGCTACTATTGATTGTAAAACATTATTTACTCAGTTTTACAATCAATAGGAGCCCTGTAGAGCAAGAATGTAAGGAAGAATGGAACTTTCATAATGGATAAGCTTTTACAGTTAATATTTTTCTTTACAAGTCATTCTGTACTATACTTCACTTCTTCACAAATATACTTTAAGTGTAATTGTACAGTGAAACATGAACTGTAAATTTCTAAGCTATTATATTGAAATAAACAGGTGTTTTGTTAAAAATACTGTTTGCCACTAGTTCTGTTTCATGAAGGAGGCAATCTTTTATACTCCTTGTTGGAAAAGGTAAATCATAACTTTCAATATGGTATTAAACCTGGACAAACATTTTCATTTTAATTGACTGTGCAATGCTATGTAATGACCCGTTTACAGACTATTGCTAGGAAGCAACAGTTATCGATCAGCTAGTTTTACACACTGCAGTCCCTGTAATTGTAAAAACTATTATGTGGTAGTAGCAGGCAACTTAATATTGACCTGACTCCTGCAAGTCATGCATAAAAGAGTTTAGCTAACAGTACAAGTGCTATAACATACTAAGTCTTTTTAGCACTGTGTTTCAGTCTGCCTCAACTTCATTGCTATTGTCTTTAGTTTTTTTACACTAACAATTTTATAGTATTTTTATACCATTTTTGAACAATATACTTAAACAATTTTTGCATTCAAATCATAGTTAGATAAACATCTACTTACCCTTATATGTTGCATACAGAACTATCATTGTGACAGCTATAATAGTTAGCAGAATCACTACAACTGATAGCCCTATTTCCAGGGAACTCCATCGTGATTTTTTCTTTGTTTTTTGAGTGTTCATTTCAGTTATATCCATTTGGCTTTCTGACTTTCCCATAACCCAAATTCTGAAAAAGAAAAAGCAGAATTCATTGAGAATCTATGGAGTCATATTTGTCAGATAAAGTTAGGTCATGAGCTACTCAGAGACAAAAGATATTTTTTTCTGGGCAAGCTTTAGGGGAAAAGAAAACAAGTTTGGTTTGTTTATAAATCTGATTAGCATGTTACTCATGAGTTTAAAGTGGCTATAACCACCCTTCTCTTTCATTACTTACAGATGACAGGAGAGTGTTCTTTTACATGTGGAAGCCGCTGTAGAAAAGGGAAGGCCAACAGGCCAATGCTTAATTTTAACACTTACTCATGTGGTTTAATTATATAAGAGTTTACAAGCAGGCAAAAGACAACCCTTATTATCTGAATAAAAATTAACTTAGTCTCCCTGATCTGAAGCCAAAGGTTAAAAACACTATTGTGCTTCACTAGCAGTTTTTAAAATCATTTCAGCAATTAGTGATTCAGGCCTTGGGGCTAAAACTAAACAACAGGAAGTAAAATATGAACTTTGTTTTAGGCCCCATCTAACTCCCACTGAAGTTAGTACAAGTGTTTACACCTATTATAATGGGAATAGGATTAGGTCCTCTGATTTCACTTTAGATCAGTGTACATTAGGAACAACTCCAAGAAAACCACAGAAAGTTGGTGGATGTGAGATCAGAGTTGACTCTATCCATTATGTGTAGGAAGCAATAAAAGATTTTGGAATGCTCCATGGTTTTGTGCTTCTTTAAAACTAGGATTTAGCTTATTTCTTAGCATTGCTGTTGTTCTAGTATTTGTTCTATGCCCTTTTGCATGTACATTGCCATTAATTTGGGACCAGATCATTCCCTCTGCTTCTGTAACAGAGAGTAAATCTACTCCGTTTGTCAGGTGGAAACTCTGACAGTTTCAACTTGTACAGTCTCCTTGGGATTTTCATATTGGCAATGGCATTTACTTCTTGTCCTTTCCCCTTGACAGGAAAGATTCACAGATGCTAGGGCTGGAAGGGACCTTGGAAGATCATTGAGTTCAGCCCCCTGCCCCAGGGGCAGGAAGTCAGCAGGGATCAGATTATAGAACTTAGACCAGAGTGGCCAATGGAAGTCCCCAAACTTCCAGTTCTTCCCCAAACCAGACAACCAAAGGCATAGGGTCAAGCCACAGCATTCAAGTATGCTTGCTTTCTTTACCAGACCCAGAGGGGCTTTCTGAAGCAACCTACACAGGAGCAGTACCGGTAGCAAATGGTGGGCCTTCTCAATCAGTTGACATTGCCACTAAGTCACCTATAAGGCCTGAATTCTTTTTTTGCATGTCTTTTTTTAATTTGCTGTACTGCAAATCAGTTGTTAGTTCCCCTTCATTGCTGTTCCCTCTCACTATCAAAGTCTTTCAGCTGCTCACATCACTTTTTTCCACTCATCCCCACTCTTCTTCTCCAGCAGCCTCTTCTTCCCCCTGACGCCTTCCCTTGCACAAAGAATGCCTAGACCTATTTATCTAAGCTTAGACATAAAACAAATATGGGAAAAAATTAGCAACATGAAGCTAACTTGAAATGCACCCATCCTAACACCTGATCCCTGTAGCTCTTCCCCATTTTTCATCTTTTTAGGCTGTAAATTTTACTATTGCTCAATGGGTACTTGATCTTGGTTGGGAACATTGGAGGACATGTTTCTGTTCACAATGAGAACAAGGTATATACTCTCCCACTGTTTCCCAGTCTGCATTTAGACAACAGCATTATTCCCTTAGTAGGCAGTAGTTGAGGAACTACAAACAGGTGAGGTACAGATCTTCCTTAAGTCTGGAGGTAGATTCCTTCTCAGGTTCTCCAGCCCCTATCTTTTCACGCCTACAGAAACCATTTGAACACTACCTGGCTTCTACTTTGGACCATATTTTGCTTGAAATGATGAGCCTTTGTCCAAATAAAACAAGTTTCTCACACACAGGAATAGAACCCTATAGACACTTATACATAGGAACTGGAACTGCTCACATGAGAAGTGGCTCTATGTTCACTGTGAAATCTAAGCTCACAGATAGACTATAAAAGCAGTTTTAAAATTATACCTTTCTACCTCCACACACAGCAAGCACTAAACATTATTCTTTATTTATCTTAAAAATTTAAGAGCTGACCAATCCTCAAAACCTTCTGAACACTTTCAGCTTAAATTAGAAAACAGTTCAGTTTCCTGATTCTGCAAGTGATTTGAAAGCTCTGGAAATGGAATTTATTAGAGCAACAAGAACTACTGTATTTTTTGTGTGCAAATGTGCTTCCAACTTTTTTCCAAGCAAGCAAGTCTTTTTATTGCTGCAGGAGTGTTCCTCTTATTTAAAGGCATCCCACTGACTCATTCTTACTTGTAGCTCTTTGGGGAACCTATAAAGTCTGCATTACAGAACACCTAGTAAAGGCCTCTTTAGGTGTTAATTGCAGACACAACAAAAACCTAGGAATAATTTAAGCAGATATGAGCCTAGGTGTTATAGTTTCATTATGTTTCTAGTGCTCCTGTGATACTCCACCAGCTGCCCACTAAAGCTAAGACAAAACAGACAGCTGTAATTATTTTGACTGGCTCTGGCCTAGGTAGCATAGCGAGCTAATGCATTAGCCTTTTACTTCTGGATGCATGTGTTTCAAACTGACTTCCAGTAGGTCAGAAATCAAACGGGCTGTGTCTTCGATCAAGCTGCTACAGAAAATATACCCATGTCACAAGAGCACCATGTACTTCTACGGGAGTTAAAAATACCTGATCCAGGAACTGAGGTCTAGAGACACGGAGGTAAAAGGCCTCCGCAAAGGACCGGAAGAGATGGTTCAAAAGGTGCCGACAGGCACCGCTCAGGCACACAGATGTGACCAGTGGGCGGTTACTTGCACCACCAACATGTGCCAGTGCGTTTGTCATTTCCCTTGCACAGAAAGGAAACCTGAAGCCCCCGTTTCAGGCCTCCGGCTGGTGCTTTGGACTTGCCAGCACCCACAAGCCAAGTAGGACTGGGTGGGAGGAGGTGCCTCAGACCGGCCCGCGGCCCCTGGGCAGCAGGTGGCACTCCTTTCGGATCCTCCCGGCGGCTTCGCTGCCCCCGCTCAGGTGGGGCGGGAGATGCCCACCAGCCTTGCGCACGATGTGCAACCCAGAGCACCGGAGGCGTCAAACCAGAGGCAGCCGCCCGCCGGCAGGAGGTGCCTGGTGCCAGGCAGCGCGGGAGCGAGGGGG